CTAAACCCACCCTGGCGCAACTTCAAACCATTCCCCCTCATCCTATTGCCCATTACCAGGGAGAAGAGACCGATCCTGGCACAGGCTGCAAGCAGGGCTGGGATGAGGAGCCCATTGCGGGCTGCGTGCCTCCTCCCTGCACCCACGGCAGGGACCCAGCCGCACCCACAGTAGCAGCTCCCGGCACACCCACCGCCCCCCAGCACCCCGGCCCCGCAGTCCCCACGGGCAGCACGGTCACAAGGCTCCCGCCGACGGTGCCAAGACACTCACACGGAGCAGCCGAGATACTTTTGCTCTTGAATCATCTGGCAAGGAGCCGGCTTAAGCAGGGGGAAAGAAAACCAGCGTGTTTTCAGATGCACCTCCTGTGCCTGACAGGCTTTGCACCCCAGGGTGGGGATCAGGGCCACCCCCAGCACCTGGTAGCCACCCCCAGGGGATGGGGACCTTTTGGGGCACAGGGACACAAGTAGCCCTGAGAAGGCGAGGCAGGCTGAGACCCCAAATGCGTTGCCCAGGGGGGCAGCAGTGCCCACAGGCAGAGAGGACAGGTCTGGGTGCTTGCTCAGCCCTGCTCCAACCCTCACCCCAGGGGTGGCTGCTCTAAGAGGTTAATAACCAAAACCTCTCCAGAGCATCACCCCTGCGCCCCCCGGCAGCAGGGCTTCCCTCCGTCCTTGCCATCAGGGCCAGCCAGCCTTGGGGCACCCAAACTGGCACCTCCTGCTCTGGGTCCAACGGGAGCAGCAAGAGGGGAAAGAAAAAAAGGAGGGGAAAAAAAAAAAAAAAAGAAGAAAAATCAATGCAGAGTTTCATGTTGCGCCGAAGTTGCTTAATTTTATGCCCTGGTGCCGCTGCATCAGGCTGGGGAAACTGCTGTGCCTGCTTCTCTTCCCACTGGCATTTCCCCCAAACGTGGCTCTTGTTTCAAGCCCGGGCAAGGTGAGCGGGGCCGGCCCGGGGGCAGAGCCCCCTGCTCGAAGGGCACAGCCTCCCCAGCCCCTTATACTTTGGCCATGCAAGCACAGGACCTGGATAGGAAAGCACCACACCAGCCCCTGCGGAAGAGGCCAGCGACAGCAAGTTAAAACCCTAGAGCTTAATACAAGAGGTTTTTAGCAAGCAGGCAGCGGAGAGCCAGCACCGAGCAGGGGATGAAGCGATTTCCCTGCAAACCCTCTGGGGCTCCAGCCCATCAAATGGCCCTGGGTGGGTTGGCAAGAGCTTGGGCTGGTGCTTGCTGCAGGCACCGACCACGGCAGCAATCCCCAGCACGGCGGGGAAAAGGCTTTCCCCGCTTACCAAAGTGGTGATGGAGGGATGCAGCGAGACGGGGGAGCACGGCAGAGCCGCCCACCCTGCGGCAGGGCCGGGATGCAGCGGAGGTGGCAGCCCCATCCTGCCCACCACAGCCCTCCTCTGTAACAGGATCGGGGCACCCAGAAGCTCCGGGAGAGACCAGCTGTCAGCAGCCTGGTCCCTGGCCAGGAGCTGGCCGGTGCATGGGGGGGACCTGCCAGCCGCTGCCCTGCGCCCATCACACCCCCACTTCCCGCTGCCCCGAGCCAGCGGGGATTTCCCACGGCCCCGAGGCGCCTGGCCAGCCCCGAGCCAGGGAGAGCATCGGGCACGAGAGTGCGGGGATTGTCCCGAGGCTCTGCCGGGAGCTGCCACCCCTCTGCCCCCCCAACGTACACGGGGACCCAGCAGCACCAAATGGGAAGGGATGGGCACCCTCTGCGCTCCCATCTCCTCCTTGCCCCAGGCACGGGGCGATGCTTGCGCAAGGTAAATAAACCCCCAGCAACTCAACAGCATCAGGTGAGATGCTGCCAAGAGCAGCGGGCAGGGGAGGCGTCCGGCTGGCCCGGCATGGGGGATGGTGTTTCAGGCAGGGGGTTGCGGGTTCTTACTGGTGCTGCCAGCTCAGTCTTCCCTAATTTGCTCCAGGTCAAACTGTTCTTTAATAAAGCACTCCACTAGGAAATGGAAAAGTGCTGAGCTGAGCTTCTGGTGCACCCAGCAGTTTCATAACCACCGATATGAGCTCCCAGACCCTGGTTTCCATCAGGGCAGCAGCACCTGAGAGCCACTGGCCATGTGCAGGGGCTGGGGGAGGGAACAGATTGAACTGGAAACCTCCCCAGCACAGCTCCAGGCTGCAGGAGACCCCTTTGGGGGGCAGCCCTGGAGTTGGGCTGGGCTGGCCCCGGTGCCTGTGGCAAGGGCAGAAGCCCGCAGCAGCTCTGCCGGGGCACGGGGCAGCCACCGACAGCCACACACAACCAGAGGGACGAGCTGGGTATGAGAACAGCCTTCCCGTTTGCTTAAGAGGTGGAGATTGGAAAAGGAAGTTCTTATTTGCCTTCTGGCTGTAAAGCCTTTAGGTTAACGCTCTGGTCACACTCCAAGATTGGCTCTGTAAGCTCCAGGGCTGCAAACCCTCATTTCGAGAGGGCAAGGCAGAGCTTTGCAAGCCCAGCGAGCCCAAGCACGTGCCTCCACGGTCCTGCCATGGTTAGAGGGGTTGGGGTCAGTCGGCCAACACCACACACCTCAGCCCCGGCTCCACGCCCGCACGGGCACCCACTTCCACACCACCCCCTTCCTGCGAACGCTGGAGCACAGGAACCCAGGGAGACCCCCAGCAAGTAGATGCCCCATCCCTGGAAACATTCCAGGTCAGGTTGGACAGGGCTCTGAGCAACCTGATCAAGTTGAAGATGTCCCTGCCCATTGCAGGGGGGTTGGACTAGATGACCTTTAGGGGTCCCTTCCAACCCAAACCATTCTATGACGCTAAGGTGGAGCAGCACCAGCCCGGGCCAGAGCGGGCGCTGGGGATGGGAAGCAATTTGGGATCAATTTGCCGACGGAAAGAGACTGAACTTGTCCAGTAAGGTATCAGCTCAGCCCTGCGACGTGCTCCCAGGCACTAAACTGCTCAGGGAGGGAAGCGCTTCGCTTCTCAGCGGGTATTTCCATTTTAGCAGTTTTCAGCCCTGTCTGGGAGCCAGGCTGCCCGGGGGGAGGCAGCGCGCAGCCGTGACTCAGAGGACAGGTCCTGTGACCAGTGCTGCCCCCGACCTTGGCTGACCTTGGGTCATGGGCTCCATCTCCCCCGTGCCTTAGACTCCCCCAAAGTGGGGGTAACACTTTCCTCCTCTTATTTAAAAACCAGTCCTCGGCTATTCAGGCACATGAATCTTTCCTGAGAACTTCAATACCCAGCACCGCAACAGCTTAGCAACACCCGTCTGCTGCGCAAGAGAAGAAAAAACTTTGAAGAAGCCAGAAAGGAGCAACATTTACAGGAAAGGCTTCATGGAACAGACATCCACACCTTGCACCCACTGCAGCACCTTCCTGCAGGCTTTGGGGGGAGCCCCCGGCAGGACTGACCACGCTGCGGCGTAGCTCAGCTGTAAAATTAACTAAGCAAATGGGCACAAACCCTCCCCATCCCACTAAATGCTTAGGACGTTTTGCTCCTGCTATCGAGTGCTGCACACCCTGCCCACGCGGGGCAAAGCCCATCTGCCAAGAGCTGGGGGCCAGGCACGGCTGGGGTGGCAGCGGAGGGACGCGGGGCTTGGTGGGCTCTGCTGGGGGGAGCTGCTTGGCCCGGTGAGGTTGGTTCTGGGGCAAAACACACAGGTCAGGAGGAAGAACTGGTGGAAGGCACACGGGCACGCTCGTCTCAGCCGTGTGATGAGCAGGGCACCTCGCCCAGAGCCCAGCGAGCACCTACACAAAAAAGTCGGATCCCCCTCCCCTAGCAAGGGGGGGGTTGGCTGCCGCCGTTAATTCCTTGCAGGAAAAGCTCTTTCGAGGGCAGTATTTGCAATATTGCAATATCGCTGCTGAAGCACACTGCAGAGGTGTCGGCAGGCATTACAAATGGGCCCCGGGCTCCTCTCCCAGCTCCCCAGGGATGCTCAGGTGCCCTCTTATCGAGTGACAAATTCATCCTGCCATCTCAATGTGCTAACTTCGGCAAGACCCACTTTCCTGCTTCTTAACGAGCTCCAGCTCGCACACCCCGCTAACGACTCAGCACCGTGTTACTACTCCCAAAAGTGGAGGAAGAGGCAGTTTTTGGGCTCATGCTCTTAGTGTCTGTGCCAGCCAGGCCCTGGGGCACAGCGCACACGCCTGGCACACACCAAGCACACATGAGGAAGAGGAGGAAGCCACCTCCTTCCTCTTGGCTACAGCTAGGCAGGGAGCAGTGGTGTCCCGGCAGCATCCTGGCAGCGAAGCCGGAGCAGAGTGGGGGTCCTGGGTTGGGGTAGCCAGAAAACCCCTCCAGCACCGATCCTCCCTCTCTCCCTGCTGCCTCCGGGCGCGTTATGGGCACCCCGGCTCTGTGGCCCCATTACAGCACCCTGAGCAAACAACCCCAAGGGGCGGAATTTGTTACGCAGCCCCGAGCTGAGCTCGCAGACCTCAGAGAAGCTTCTGCTTTGCAAAAACCATCGGATGCCCAGGTCCAGCGAGTAAAGCCGGAGCAGCCCCATGCCGCCTGGGGAACCGCACTGAGCCAGGGCAGGGAGCAGATGTGCTCCTGGGAGCATCCCGGGCTCCGCCTCTGGAGAGGGATGTTTTAGTGCTGGGGACAACAGCAGCCGTGACCCAGGAATGGGCACAGCTCTTGGGGTACGGCCACAGCTCTTGGGTGGTTCGCAGGGACAAGAACACCCATTCCCCACCTTCCTCCATCCCACCCGGGCACCGCTCTGGGGATGCTGGGCTAGGACCACTGCTACGTCCCGAGGGTGCTACAGGTACCCCAGGGTCCCTGCCCTGTCGCCCTTTGGGGACTCCCGCCTCCGAGGCTCCCCCGGGGCTCGGAGACTCCCCCGGGGTCCCGTGTGCCAGGCACATCCAGCCAGGGGGCGAGGGGCAGAGCGGGACGGTGGCCCAGGCCCCGTGCGGGTGCCAGCGGGAAGGGGCTCACT